CCGCAGGAGCGCCGCCGCCTTGTTCTCCTCCCGCCCCCCCTCGCCTCCTTCGCCGCCCAGAGCGGCGAAAGGCGCGGTGGGCGTCGCGAGAGCAGCGACATAAGCATCGCGGCCAGCCTGCTCCGCGTCGGCGCCCACAGCGCTCGCGCGACGCCACGCGTCGTCGAAGGCGTCCTGCGCGCGCCGCTGGTCTTCAGGGCTCGCCCTCGATTGCATGTCCACGATGGCAGCCAGCTGCATCTCTGGTGTCCATTCGAGCCACTCTGCCCACCACGCTGGCGCCACGTCGGGCGCCGCCACTTGCGGCGCGCCGGGAAGCGGAGAGACGGAGAGGCGGACGGCGGCGCGGCCGGCAGAGGGGACAGGGTGGCGGAGCGAGAGGGCGACGGCGAGCAGCGCCGGGAGCTGGTAGATCATCATAGAACGGCGCCAGATTGTCGAGGTGATGTCAAAAAGAGAAAAACCTTGACTGCGACCAAACGCCCTCGCCGCCCCCACCCTCGCCGCCCCAACCCTCGCCGCCCCCACCCTCGCCGCCCCCACCCTCGCCGCCCCCACCCTCGCCGCCGCCTCCCTCGCCGCCGCCTCCCTCGCCGCCGCCGCCGTCACCGACCCCACCCTCGGCGCCGCCCTCGGCGCCCCCACCCTCGCCACCGCCTCCCTCGCCACCGCCGCCCTCGCCACTGCCTCCCTCGCCACCGCCGCCTCGCCGCCGCCGCCCTCAATGCCACCCTTGCCCCCGCCACCGTCGCCGCCGCCGCCCTCGCCGCCGCCGCCCTCGGCCTCGCCAACCCCACCCTCCACATGACTCGATCGCCGTCGCTACTACCGCCCTCTCCGCCGCCCTCGAAGGCGCCACCGCCAGCATTACGGCCGCCTTCGTCCTCATTGATGCTGCCACCGCGGCCACCTCCTCGCTGTGACGCTGCAGCGGATCATGCTGAACAAGCTCCTCTTGTAGCTCGATCGGTCACACTGCCATGTCGCCGTCAGGGAGAGAGGGGACGACACTGCTCTGGCAGCGTGCACCTCGATCCTGTACCGTGTTTGCTATGACCCCCCCCAATGAACACACCAGTGAGGGAGGGCGAAACGATCGAGGGGTCCCGTACCATGCGTGGCAGATCTCGGCTGCTCTCCGCCTCTGGCAGGTCCCGTTCCGGATCGTTCTTATCTCCACCAAACCAGCCCCTCGATGTCGGTTCGCCCATGCCCAGCTTGGATTTGAGCCCGTCGACGCAGTACCAGAAGATGTCAACAAACTTGGACGACTATGGGAAGGGCGGCCGGGTTGGGCGAAATGAGCGGGTGCATGATCCGTGTGGCGTCAACGCGATGGCATGGCTTGAGGTCAGCGGCGGCGAGCCAGCTTTCCTTGAGGGCAGAGCCTAGGTGTGCGCCCTCCCTGCTACTCCTGACCTCGACCGTCGTGTCCAGCCCCCGCGAAAAGGGCACGCCCAGCTTCTCCAGCTCCTTTGGAGTCGGACGGATAGTCAGCGTCGCCGATGGGCCCGTCACGAACCCTTCCGCGGGGGACGGCCGTGGTGGAGGTGTGTGGGGCGCGACGCGGTGGGCGGGGAGGGGCTTAGGTAGGAGCAGCGGCGCACCCTCGCTCCGCAGTGCCGCGTAGGACTGTCTCGAACGC